AGTTGGTGTGGTTGAAGTCGCCAGCAACAATAAAAGCAGCCTCGGGGTGTTTATTTTTGTACTAAACACAAAAATCAAAGACTTTTGGCACAGATTACACATTGATCAGTAATAAAGACACGGACCTGCTCATATTGCTGTGCATTGCTTCTAAATCTAACCTCAGAAATTGTGAGAGATTCATAGATATTGTTAGATTTCATAATAACAAAGTTCTGTGTGTTAAGACCTTCAGCAAAAACAGTCATTTACTTTATGTCCTAGGGTAAGGACCTAGTGTAATCCTTTCAAATCATTTTTGAATTCTTAGTTAATATTTATGAGTTTCCAGTTAAGCTAACTCCACGTGTGCATGTCTTTGGACTGTGGGAAGAAGTCGAAGTACCCAGACCGAACCCAAACAAACAAAGGGAGAACATGCAAACTTCACACAGAAAGACCCTCCACCTGTGGAATTAACCTTAGGACCTTCTTGCTGTGAGGCTACAGTTCTAACCACCATGTTGACGCAGGCTTATTATTGCTTGAAGAATAAATGATGCTGCGTCATCAAGACTGGTGTGGTTCTGCCTACTTCCTGCTTCTGAATGTGTTGTGTTTTAAGTTGTTTGATCTGGTCGCTGTAGGGGTGGGAAGCCTTTTTCTCTTAAAACGGCAAACTTCTCCTCCCTTCTTTTTCTCCCCATCCCCGGCTGCCTCCCTCTTCCCGCTCCAACACACCCACCCACACAAGTAGGGCGGTGTGTCACCAGGATGCAGGGGAGGCATCCCCCCCGGTCCCCTCCTGGCTACCTGTGCCTCAATTTTATTCCACAGCTTAGACATCCACATTACTCACACTCTCATAACACATACATATAGGGCCTTGGGGGTGGGCAGAGGACGGTCTGTGTATTCAACCCCACCTCTGGCCCCAGTGCCCACCTCTCAATTTTAAATCCATGTAGACATTGAGGGTTCTCGGGAGGGGCCGTGCTAACACCTGCTGCTCTCTGGCAGCAGCACCAT